GGGTTTAGGGGTTGGTTATCCCAAGTGATTGTGCCTACTTACATTTTGAGAAGGCTGAAGCCGCTTGGAGGTTTATAGCTGCTACATGGCGAAACAGAGCCAGAGGAGCTACAGTCTAAACTCCTTCAAGGGGAGAGGGCTTGTTACTTTAGAGGATGCCTCACATATACTGGGAGTACCTGTAAGGGCGGCTGGGATAGCTATGAGTAGGGTCATAGGCCCATAATGGCCCATATAAGCCCAGCTATGGTAGTTGTGACTATGAACTTTGGTCTAAACTCGTTAAAGGGAGTTACATACAGGATTATATAGGGGAGTCTTGATTATAGTGTTTATAAAAGGGGGATACGGGGAGTTTAGACTATGGCGCAGAGGGTTTAATGTAAGGGTTGAGGCAGTCCAACGAACTTCCAAGTCATGGGGCACTAAAAACCACCCAAACCACAAACCTCACTAAACACCCCAAGCACCCTAAACCCTGAACACTCGAAACCCGAAACACCTTCAACACCCAAAACCCTAAACTGTAAACACTCAAAATCCTGAGCCCCAAGCCCTTAAGCACCTTAGACACCATACGCCCTAAGCCCCTCAAACACACAGACCCCAAAACCCCACAAACCCTAAATCCTAAACACCTTAAACATCCTAAACCCTAAACATCTTACACACCCTAAACACGATAAACTCTAAATCACAATCAAGGCCATGACGTCTGAGTGTCGTTTTCATACAGAGAAAGATGTACAGGGGTTCCCAAAGTGAGCGATGCACTGTCGAGGGTTCTTATAAACAGGAGTACAGCATTTTGGAATCTATACTGGGGTCCTCCCTTTTGGGGGAAGCTACCATATCCTCCTTTGCGTCTAGTATGTCATAACAAGAATGCAAACTAAGGGCTTACAAAGCTTAATCACCACAAACATTACCCTCCTTCAAACTAACATGGAACCTCAAAAACCATTTCCCTAAACCCTAAACCCTGAACCCTACACCCTAATTGTTCTTTTCAATGCGGGCTCTGTGGCGTTCCATGTGGGTTCGGTGGACCCAAGCCCAGCATTCTGTAGGGTACCATGGGGCCACCGCCGGGTGTTTCCCTAAACAACCCTTGAAGCTCCTTAAGCCGTAAGGGGGGCTCCGAAATTTGCTGGAGGACTGAGGGTTTAGGGTTTTGGCCCAGATATCCCTATGGTTTTCAGGGGCGCCCCTTGTGAGAACCCCTGGCTGCCTGAGGGTCATGGGCACAGCACCGGATTCCATCCTTCAAGCAACGGAGGACTGAGAAGTATACTTGGAAGCCCATGGGACTTAGTGACTACATATAACTGGGGTTATAAACCCAATTATAATTGGGGGAACCCTCATAAGCCCATTTAAGGGGATTATAATTGGTGTCATAAGCCCAGTTATAGGTAAGCCCAGTTATAGGTAGTTACAAAGTCCCATGGGCTTCCAAGTACCTCGTCGGTTTAAGGATTAAGGGTTGCAGATGCTAAGTAGTAAAGAATGCTAAGGTTTAGGGTCTCGTAGTCCCTACATAAACCTCATATAGGCATCCCTACATTCCATTCCTTCCTTTTCTGGTCACCACGTTCCCTCTTCCGGGCCCTTTGGATTTAGAGATACGGGGCGGGCCTTGGCTTCCAGCATGAGGTCCCTCAACTCACTGGTTTAGGGTTGAGGGGAACAATGGAATATGTTTGGGCACTGCCCCCACCCCGTAACAGTCTAGACCCCTATTAAGGGCCATATATTTAACCATATTACAATTATTAGTATCCAACTGTTACTGAGGGGGGGCAGTACCCAAAATATGTAATATTATAGAGATCAAGATCATATAGGGGTTAGTTTTCCTTATTATTCGCCTACTGTGAACCAGTAAGTCAACCTATTACAGGCTTCCAGGAATGACAGTAGTCTTACTGCTGGGTTACGCAAGAAGGAGAAACATCCACATGGTTTTTTTCATAAAAATTGTAAAAAAAACAACAGCTACGGCTAAGGCGAATACGGAAAGCATTAATTAGGCAATATTGAAACATTGTGTTCTCCTATTTCCCAGGACTGATTTACAATTTTCCATTGTAGTAGAACCATAAGAAAGTATTCAGCGGATTTCTGTAATCAGAACAAGACCCTAAACCCTGAACCCTAAACTACGCCCTGAACTCTAGACTCTGAACCCTAAACTCTGAATCCTAAACCCAAAGCCCTGAACCCGAAGGACCTTCCCGGCGTTTCGTCGCGTGTGACGGCCGCTCATTCGGAGCGGACGGCGCTTTTGCTTGCTCTGAAGCAGCTGCGGCCTGGCTTCTACATTCAGGGTTTAGGGTTTCGAAGGTTTAGGGTTCAGGATTTAGGGTTTGTAAAATTTTTAGGGTTTAGAAGGTTAAGGGCTCGTAAAGTTTAAAGCTTTGTGAGGTTAAGGGTTTGTAAGGTTTAGGATTCAGGATTTAGGGGTTTCACGATTTAGGATTTAGAAGGTTTAGGGTTTAGGGGTGCAGGGTTTGGAGTGTAGGGTTCAGAGTTTAGGGTTTTAGGGTTCAGGGTTCGGGGTTTAGGGTTTTGGGTTAAGGGCTTCAGAGGAACTGTGATTTGCAGCTTTGGTCTAGAGAGTTTTCCTTGGCCGGGCTAGTTGAGATGTTTTTGAAAAGCTCCGGCATATTGGCTATCAGGATGATACAGTGATCACTTGCGCGCGCTTTAGGGTTTTAGGGTTTAGGGTTCAGGGTTTAGGGTTGACAAAAATGGGTCTGCAGAGGGCTGTTTCGGTATTAGATGGGGCCCTTTTACTGCGGAACCTTCGTGTCCATCCTCCAGCAGATTCTAGATCAGAGCTTTTCCCGTAGGATCCGGCAGAGCCTAAAGTTGGGTCAATGTAATGTAACTAGGGCTGAGGAATTTGTGTTTAGGGTTTAGGCGTCAATCCCTCACTCAGTAGTGGGTACCACAAAGGAGTCTTGTGGGTATATCGAGGCCCTGTTAACTCCATATTTGGGGGCTCTGACTGTGGAGGGGATTGACCTAAAGCCTAAAGCAGGCAAGGCCTTATCGCTAGGCCTCAGGGCACGACGTAGGACTTTAGGGTTCAGGGTATAGGGTTTAGGGTTTAGGGTTCAGGATAGGCATACCGCATATACTTAGGGCCCAAAGGGCTTCCAATACAGCTACTTTAGGGCCCAGGTTATACAGATACATACATGGACCCAAGTTTCATGGCCCCACCCTGTGCTACCACCCCAAGTTCTCCCTCAACTAATAGCTTATGTAGTGGATGACTAGGGCTATTAAGCTCATAGGCGGGTAGTGCGAGAACCCCTTCATTCGCAGTTGCAATAGGAGCGTAGTCGAGTTTACAACAGCCAAAGAAAGCCAGTCTTCGTCCACCTCTACTACGAGACAGTAGTCAGATACTTGGAGCCCAAAACCCATCAAACTGCCCAAAACCCTAACCCCCCCAACCCTATAACCTAAACTCCAAAACCTAAGTTTCCAAACCCAAAAACCCGTAGACCCAAGCTCTGTGACATGGATAGCGTGCTCTGGAGGATTGATCAAAGAAGTCGACTGGCCATCCCTTAATCCTAAAAGTGCTTGCGGTTTAGGGTTGAGGGCTTAAGGCTCAGGGCTTGGGGAGGCCTAAGCCCCTAGACCTTCATGCCAGGCTTATGAGGGCCTGAGCCACGTCCTCGTTGGCAATCTTTCAACCAACATGATGTATGAGTAGTATATTACTGGAGGTTACAATGGTACATAATATAGAGTAAGATTATATCCTCCTTTTGGGTATATATACTGGAAGTAAAGCCCAAAAGACGCCACTCACTTGGGGCGTCTCAGAACCAAGACTCTTCTTTGCGGCTTAAGTTTACAGCGATCGATTCCAGCATTGTACAGACTGTTGTTACTCGGCTTAGCCACTTAAGTGCTCAGGCGCATGATGTCCCGGATAAGACCTCTACAGCCTACATTCCGCGACGGCCTGGATTGGGATGATGACCCAGATCAGGCGCATGCAGTTCGCGATATTGCAGAGGGTTCCTGTGTTGTTGTCGGTAATTTCAGTATACGAAAGCCCGATGAAGAATACATGCATTTTTGTAAGTCATATCCAAAGATACCTTTGAAACGGTATCCAAGTAGGGATATTGTTGAGTATGATCAGTAATTTCAGTGTACCAAAGCCCAATGACAACTGGACCTGTCCTGTGCGGCACAGAAACTCATGAAAGCTCCTAGTGCTTACGGCTTGGTAATGCGCTTTTGTCTTGAGACTTAGCGGCTAGAGTCAGTATTGCGACGTCCGATAGGGCAGAGGAGTTGAAACCCAGCACTTGAAGCAGCCGCCACGGTGAATCATCATTTCAAAGGGATGTAACAACAACCCTAAACCCTAATAGCCCTAAAACCCTAAATCCTAAACCCTAAACCCTAATAGCCCTAAAACCCTAAAACCCTANNCTAAAACCCTAAACCCAAACCTTTGTCATGAAGTCTTCATCTCGTACCTCTCTTGTGGTACGCAGGAGTGAAACACTTAACTCCAGGGGTTCTTGGTCCCCTCATTACTAGTATCAAATACTCCCCACCCCCAATACTCAACAGGTTCCCTACTGCACGGGTGGTATTGAATTCCAGGGGTGGGGGGTGTGTTTTAGTGTCAGTATGTAGAAAGATGCAACTGCTATGGGTCCATCCCTCCGCTCGTCACTGTTCATCAGCTTGTGTAATGCTGACTCGAATTTAGGTGGACTCCCACGCCCTGTAAGGGGTAAGCGAAGGCCGTGAACACATGACATACATCAGCACCAGGACATGATAGAGACCAGACCCTAAACCCTAAACCC